CTAAAGCAGTCTTTCTGCTGCCACCACCCAAAGTTCTGGGATTACAGGCATGAGCCACTGTGTCCGGCCTAGTAGCCTCCTCTTAGGACTTGAGTGTAGATTAGCTTGTGATGCCTGGGAGAATTTTTTTGACCTGTCACCAGGTCATCTACAGAAGCATCAACAGGTGCCCCTGCTGGTGATGGTGGGCTTAAGATTTATTTACTTAAGCATGGACCTCTCATACCTGTTTACCATGTGCAGAGAAATGGAACTAAGTTTGAATATTTGTAAGTTTGAATGATGCCTGATTTTCTGCTGACTAAAAAATATTTTCTTCTTTCTCCTCTCGGAGAACTCTAATTATCAGAAATACTTCTGCCAACTTTGTTTTACTTTCATGTGGTAATTAGTTGGAAGTAACAAAGGAAAAGAAGGACAAAAAGAACTAGTGGTAAGGCACTGACTTGACCTGTGTGATATTAGGTTTGTAGGCACAGCAGTATCTTAGATGCTTGCTGCTGCTAGCCTTGTATTTTGACACAGATGTGTAGATCACATAAAATGCTCTCTATTTTTACCCAGTACAGTTGTCATCTGACCACATTTTTGCATATTGCAGATATCATCTCTTCCGTGTAGTGATAGAGCATTTTTCAGCACTCTGATGTTTTCGTGTCTTTTTTCTGATAAAGGTACCTGTCATTAGTAATTACTGTATATTCTTCCAGTAAGATGCAGTTGGGAGGTCATTTTCTCTCATTTGGTTATCATGCACTTTTACTTTAAATCCAGTTTCTTTTGGGGAAAAAAATGCAGTTTTGGGCCGGGAATAGTGGCTCATGCCTGTAATCCCAGCACTTTGGGAGGCTGAAACGGGAGGATCACCTGAGGTCAGGAGTTTGAGACCAGCCTGGCCAACATGGTGAAACCCCATCTCTACTAAAAATACAAAAGTTAGCCAGCTTCAGTGGCAGGAATCTGTGATCCCAGCTACTTGGGAGGCTGCAGTGGGCCAAGATTGTGCCACTGTACGGCAGCTTCGGTGACAGAGCCAGACTCTATCTCAAAAAAAGAAAGTCTAGGCACGGTGGCTCATGCCTTTAATCTCAGCACTTTGGGAGGCCAAGGCAGGCAGATCACAAGATCAGGAGTTCGAGACCAGACTAACCAACATGGTAAAACCACATCTCTACTAAAAATACAAAAAAATTAGCTGGGCGTGGTGGTGAGCGTCTGTAATCCCAGCTGCCCAGAAGGCTAAGGCAGGAGAATCGCTTAAACCCAGGAGGCAGAGGTTGTAAGTGAGCAAAGATCGCACCACTGCATCCCAGCCTGGGTGACAGAACGAGACTCCATCTCAAAAAAACAATGCAGTTTTGAATGTTTATTTGATGCTTTACTCTGTGTTTTAACACCTTCATTGTGATCTTTTCTCTGTTTCTTCTTTCCCAGTCTCCAAAGAATAACTTTACTGCCTGATGTCAAATCTAGTCGAGAGTTCAGTCCTTGATTCTAGTTCTGGTCCAAATTATAATTGGGATTTATTTTGGTAAAATTACTATATTTAGGTAATATGCCAAAAACATGTAAACCAGAGCTCCTAATCTTTATCTGTTTCTACCTGCCGTTCAGCCTATTTTCATCCCTCCTACCCTCTGTTCCTCTCACAGTTTACTAAATTGTAAGGGGAGGGAACCAAATAACATTTTGTCAGCTAAACCTTCTAGTGAAAAATAAGGACAGCTAGAAATTAATGGCATTAAATTTGCCTGAAGCGAAGTTACTTGCTTAAACTACTAAATTTACAGTCTTTCCAACTCCAAAATTTTAACCTCTGAAACATATGTAATTTTGGGGCCGGGCATGGTGGCTCACACCTGTAATCCCAGCACTTTGGGAGGCCGAGGTGGGTGGATCACCTGAGGTCAGTAGTTCGAGACCAGCCTGACCAACATGGAGAAACCCTGTCTCTACTAAAAATACAAAATTAGCCAGGCTTGGTGATGCGTGCCTGTAATCCGAGCTACTCGGGACGCTGAGGCAGGAGAATTGCTTGAACCCGGGAGGCGGAGGTTGTGGTAAGCTAAGATTGCACCATTGCACTTCAGCCTGGGTGACAAGAGCAAAACTCCATCTCAAAAATATATATAGTTTTATGTAGTTTTGAAAATGTGAAAAAGTACAAAAAAGCCAAAGTTAGAAATTATTTGTAATCCGAACACTTGAAAGTAACATGTTACGATTTTTAAAAAAACATTTGTTTCTAAACACTAAGTAGATAAGAGTTTTCTCACTGTGTCACACAGATTCACCTTCATCTCCAGTATCAGGAACAATGTTTGTTTTATCTGTGCATCATCTGACTCTCCCAACTAGAATGTAAAATTTATGAAGGCAGGGATTTTTGTTTGTGTTTTGCTACACTACACTGCCTAGAACAGAGTCCTGTAAGCTCTCAATAATAGTTGTTAAGTAATCAGAACTCGTGATTTCTGAGAAAATTCCCATCTTAACTTCTTTCTTTATTTTAATCCAAAGCACCCACATCTAGATAATCCTCCGAAAGGTATTAAGAGAAACAAAAGAAACTACCCTACCGTCTCAGAAATTGGTTTTTATAGCTTATATAAGAAATAATAACCAGCTATATAGTACCTTTAATTTTTTTTCAAGTAAACTTCAGAAATGGTTTTCCTTTTCTTTAAAATGCTCTTTTAAGGAGATAGATAGTATTTCTATTTTTCAGATTAGAAAGCCAAAGCCTATTTTAATGGCTTTCTTAACAACAACAAAAATTGCCTTTTTAAAGTGGTGCAGCAAATTATTGGTAGAACTGGAGATTTTTAAGTTACTTGTTAAAAGGCGCAGCAGAAATGCTATACTTGAGTTATATCTCAACTCATAGAAAAATTATTGTGAAAAAATAATATGCTGTTTAAAATGCCTTTTATTGGCTAAAGACAAAATTATTTTTTTTTGCCTTTTCTTGTAAAAAAATCAGACTGACATGAAGATACCAAAATAGAATTTAAAACATTTATTCCTAATAATTGCTACTCTGAGACTTCTTGGCTATTTTCAAATTTCTAGTTTCACTTTAAGTATTCCTTACAAAAAAATAGTAGAGGGGGTGCTTTTAATTATTATAAGGGATACTGTATTTCACTTATTTTCACATAATAATGTACCACAGAATGACCAGTTGCTTCTTCCCTATTTCTATGTCTGTGACTTTTTTTTCTAAGAGGAAGTTAAAACACTTTAAATTACATACTCATTGGAAATGCATAATAAATTGTCCCTTCTACCAGAAGCTGGTATGGTATGCATAAGACCACTAGGTTACATTCTCTCAACCCTTAAAACCAAACCAGACTGAGCACCTCTTTTTACAAAATATGCAACTGTAATTTTGCTGGTTTCAGTTACAGAAAATACTTGACTCTCGTTTATAACTGTCCCTAATACTTTGGGTATCCCTTTCTTTTTTTTCTTTTATTATTTTTTTGTGTGTGTGAGATGGAGTCTTGTTCTGTCTCCCAGGCTGGAATGCTGTGGCTCAGTCTTGGCTCACTGCAACCTCTGCCTCCCAGGCTCAAGTGATTCTCCTGTCTCAGCCCTCTGAGTAGTTGGGATTACAGGCGTGCACCACCACACCCGGCTAATTTTTGTATTTTTAGTAGAAACGGTGTTTCACCATGTTGCCCAAGCTGGTCTCAGACTCCTGACCTCATGATCCACCCGCCTCGGCTCCCAAAGTGTTGGGATTGCAGGCATGAGCCACCACGCCCGGCCTGGGAATCCCTTTCTCTATTGCTGTGTCTTCTCCTCTCTGCCTGCCAGGGCTCTCCACTGCATTCTCCCTTCTCATGATCTTTCCTCCTGCTACCCCAAAAAACTGATTCTGATGAAGTAATCATGGGTTAGAAAGTAACATTTTTGCTATGTAAAAATCTCTGAGAGGTTGGATGAAAAAAGTACTGAACCAAAACAAAACCTTCCCTGTGTAAGAACTTAGGGTAAAACTTTACTAAGTTTGAAGGTGACTGCAAGCATTGTTGTCATGGAACAAAAGAATCTTTAGCAGCTGACGGCCCCTGTCCCCCCATCAAGTGCTGGTCATTTGGCTAGCATCCTTTTGGTGCTAACTGTGGAGGTGCAGAGGGAGTGGTGCTTTCAGCTTCCTAACAAAGGAGTTAGTCACTGTGTTCTAGTAGACCTCAAAAAGAGCAATGTATTTTACCACAATTGTTGCAGAAAGCATCTAAAATACACAAAATGGCAACAGGAAGAAGAAGCGGTCCAAGGTAGGAGAAAAGAAAGGAGACCAGTGAGAGAAGGAAAAGTAGAGGCTAGACTCCTCATGAGAGTAGGGATTGTGGCCTGGATCAGAGCTAGGATTATGTAGCAGGTACTCAGTATATACTTTTGAATGAATGACAGAGTGAAATGCAGACAGTAAGATGAACAGGACAAAGGCTTTCAGGGAAGGGAGTTAATCTTTAAATATTTTTGTTAAGAAATAAACCTGGTGGGGGAGGAGGAGGAAGGAAGGTGAGAAAAATATTTTAAAAATAAACCTGACTTTGGGAGGCAGAGGTGAGAGGAATGCTTAAGACCAGGAGTTCAAGACAAGGTTGGGCAGCAAAGTGAGACCCTGACTCTCAGGTTTAAAAAAAAAATTAAATAAGCCTGATGTTCGGGAAGGGTTCCTTCACTTTTTCTTCCTCTGAGTTCTAGCTATGGCACTGGAGAGATCAAGTCCTATACGACAGCTTAGCACCATTAACTTTCCCACGATACCAAAAGGATCTGAAACAACAAGTATTCCCACCTCCAAATATTGTATTGATACCTGCCTGGGAAGTAGCAATGAACCTTTGAAATGCCTTATTATTCAAAGGACTTTAAAGTCAGAGTCTCCCTGTTATTTAATAAAGCAGTATGAGTGAAACACTGTTTTGAAATAATGCTTATGTGTGTGTGTGTGTGTGACTTTCTTCTGTTCATCTTTTTAGGTGGCATCCTTGGCTGGGCCTGGAGGGCAAGTGGAAATAGAACAGAACTTCCTTAACAATAAATTGAAGACAATCACTGCATATTTTGGTGACCTAATTCGAAAACCAGCCTCTGAACCTAACTGTGCGGCAGTGCAAGGACAAAAGATCGTGGAGTAATCAAAACATTATTCAGATGAGGTGTTTGGCACGTCTTCCTCTATTCACTGATATTTTCTACACATGGTCTTATATCACTGTAGGAAATGGAAGCTTACAGGACTCGAATAAATATCAGTGAAATATTTTGTGATCTTTGAATAACTCCTTTAGAGGAATTATGCAAAATTAATATATGAGTTCTTTGTAAAATTTTTTATTTTATTTATTTTATTTTTTTTTTGGAGACAGGATCTCACTCTCTCACCCAGGCTAGAGTGCAGTGGCTTGATCACAGCTCACTGCAGGTTCAACCTGAGCTCAAGCGATCCTTCTGCCTTAGTCTCCCCAGTAGCTGGGACTATAGGTGGGCACTGCCACACCGGACTAATTTTTGTATTGTTTGTAGAGACGGGGTCTCGCCATGTTGCCCAGGCTGGTGTCAAACTCCTGGCCTCAATCAATCTGCCCACCTCACCCTTCCCAAGTGCTGGGATTACAGGAATGAGCTACCGTACCCAGCCTTACAGACACACTTTTGAAGTGTCCTTTTCACTTATAGAATATGAATACATCTATTTAGACTTTTTCTAGAACTTTCCTGTTTTCATGTCTTTGCTTCTTCTGGCACTGGCTTCTTAACACCCTTCTATAAAGTTTGTGTTTGTAAAATTTCCATTGCAACATCGATATGAAATGTATTTTGTAATATAGCAATTTATATTCTTTTTTATTAAAATGGCAATGAAAGGAAGAGGGATGTGTGTTGCTTAATTATTAATCAAAAAGTATGTTTAGTCATTTTTGCAAGTAGGCAAAAAAAATGGTGACATACAACTCTAGCCATTGAAGGTTAGATCTGGGACTTCTCTATTTTAATAAAAGGAGTGTGTTATTGACTGGGATAGAGTTAGGGAATTGAATTAAATTTGGGGAATTCCCAATAAAGGCTAGAAAAATAGCTGTTATATAAAGAATTTTGTTGGAGTATGACTTACGTCTGCTTGGTCTGCAGTACAGTAACAACTGAGCTGATCATTAAAGGTGAAACGACTTTTTGATTAATACGCAACTTCAAAATCTGTCCAAATGTTCTTGGTTTTTAAACTCTATGTAGCATTCTTAAGGTTACTAGGGAGGTGGCCGGTGACGTAAAGGCAGATTTCCAAAATCTCCAATTTTTTTTTAGTTTTTTGTCACTTAACCTTTCATGCATATACTTCTTTCCACGACTCATTTTCTTACTTACATATTAACAAAACTAATTCATCTTCCCGAACATCTTCTTTTTCCTCAGTCTTATATGAAAAGAACAGGAAGCTTAGGCTTAGTTCGCTCTAAGACTGAGATATTCCTGCCCACTAATCACACAGGGATCAAACTAATTCATAGATTCTTCTACAGATCATCAGCATTCAGAAGGACTTCAGAAGTGTTCTAGTCCATTGTGTGAATCAGGTTCAAAAAAATCTTACTAAGAAGACAAATACGTAAAATGGATAAAAAGGCCAGGCACAGTGGCTCACACCTGTAATCCCAACACTTCGGGAGGCCAAGAAGGGCAGATCACCCGAGGTCAGGAGTTCGAGACCAGCCTTGCCAACATGGTGAAATCCCATCACTACTAAAAATATAAAAATTAGCTAGGAATGGTGGTATGCACCTGTAATCCTAGCTACTCGGAAGGCTGAGGCAGGAGAATCACCTGAACCTGGCAGGCAGAGGTTGCAGTGAGCCAAGATTGCACCACTGCACTCCAGCCTGGGCAACAGAGCAAGACGCCATCTCAGAAAAAAAAAAAAAAACAGAGCTGCTTAGGATAAAAAGTGAAGAGGCTAACAGCTCATGTTCTTGTACAACCAGGTCATTTTTTCTTATTAAATTGTAAAACTTTAAAAATAATTTTTAATAAAAATATGGACCAGGTGCAGTGGCTCACGCCTATAATCCTAACACCTTGCGAGGCCGAGGTGGGTGGATCACCTGAGGTCAGGAGTTCAAGACCAGCCTGGCCATCATGGTGAAACCCCATCTTTAAAAAATAAATACGGGCCGGACATGGTGGCTCATACCTATCATCCCAACACAGGAGACCAAGGCAGGTGGATGATGTGAGCTCAGGAGTTCAAGACCAGCCCAGGCCACAGGTGAAACCCCATCTCTACCAAAAATACAAAAAAATTAGCTGGGCATGGTGGTGCACACCTGTATTCCCAGCTACTCTGAAGGCTGAGGTTGGGAGGATCAGTTGAGCCCTGATTGAACAGCTGCACTCCAGCCTGGGCAGCAGAGCAAGATGCTGTCTCAAGAAGTACTCTAACAATTTAAATACAAAGTGAACAACTCAAAAAGAACCTCACTGTTGAACGCTTTCTCTCCCCATCTGCCACATTTTCCTTCCCCGTCTTGCCACTGTTAACACGTGGTTGCCCTTTAAAACATTTCCCTATGCAATAAAAACTTGTGCACACACAGTGGAATGGGATGCAATTATTCTGAAATTTGACTTTTAGTTTTCACTTAATACAATATAGTGAGCTCCCATCTCTAAATACATGCATTTCAATCTGTATTATCATTTTTAATAGACATGGTACAAACATAGGAGAGTTGCTGTAATCATTAATCAATTACAAACATTTTAGTTGTTAGTAGTTCTTGCAATTGCAGATAGTACTGCAGGGTATATTCCAAGTAGAATAGATTTCCAAAAGTAAAATTTCTAGGTTAAAGGTTATGCTGCTTTGATTTGGTATGTCAAATTTTCCAAATGTATATTTCTACCAAGTATGCATTAAAGGAGCCAATTTTCCTCACATCCTCAAAAGCATTGTATATATTCCCTTATTGTTACCAATCTGATCAACATTCGGTGGAATTATTTTACTTTGCATATCTTGATTGCTAGTAAGGTATAAGCAATTTTTCACATATTAGCCAAATACGTGTTAGGCTTGTAGGGTTTGTTTGCCAAATGAATAACTAATTGCTATGTTATCTTCTATTACAGGAACTAACCTTTCTCCAGAATTTGAAATCTGACCGGTGTGTGTGTGTACATACATGTGTATTCATACGTGTGTATGTGTTTCTGAAATTATCCACCTATCCCTGTGCCATATGTTTTTAATTACTGTAGTTTTCATCATATGTGTTGACAGTTGTGAATTCCCCATTCTCTTATTAAATTCTTTGGGATTTAATTTTCAGGTGAGGAAATGTGATGTCTTCGCAACATTGAATCTTCCTCTCCAAGGACTTGATACGTCCATCCAGTATTCTGATCATTTATGTTTTTCAGTAAAGTATCATTTATCTGTATAGACCTTGCATTTTTTTGCCAATTTTATTTCTTCATATTTCCCACTTTTTGGTAAATTTTCTTTCCTTTTTTTATTTTTTCTTTTAGAGACAGTCTTGCTCTATCACCCAGGCTGGAGTGCAGTGGCACAATGTTGGCTCACTGCAACTTCCACCTCCCAGGCTCAAGCAATTCTCCTGCCTCAGACTCCAGAGCAGCTGGGACTACAGGCACCCGCCACCATGCCCGACCAATTTTTGTATTTTTAGTAGAGATGGGATTTCACCATATTTGCCTGGCTGGTCTCGAACTCCTGACCTCAAGTGATCCACTCACCTCAGCCTCCCAAAGTATTGGGATTACAAGCATGAGCTACCACCCCCAGCCAGATTTTGAGTAGAATCTTTTTTTGTTAAATTTTGTAATTAATATATTGTCTATATAAGAATGCTTTTGAGCAGCCAGGCTCAGTGGCTCACACCTCTAATCCCAGCACTTTGGGAGGCTGAAGCGGGAAGATCACCTGAGGTCAGGAGTTTGAGACCAGCCTGACCAGTGAAACCCTGTCTCTACTAAAAATAAAAAAATTATAGTGGTGGCACACGCCTGTAGTCCCAGCTGCTCGGGAGGCTTGAGGCAGGAGAATCTCTTGAACCTGGGAGATGGAGGTTGCAGTGAGCCAAGATTGTACCACTGTACTCCATCTGGGTGACAGAGCAAGACTCTGTCTCTAATTTTTGTTTGTTTACCCCTCCCTCCCCACTATAGTTTTTAATTGATACACTTTGATTTTCTAAAAAAGCAGTCATGACATCTACACATGAGTTTTTCTCTTTGCCAATATTTAAGCCTCTCAATTTTTATCCTTTTCTTATTGCATCGGTTAGAACAGCCAGGAATGTTGTAATAACAGCACTTGTTCCTTTTTATTTTGCAGTGAAATGTTAGAAGCATTTCTATTAAATGTTATTGTAGCTCGCATCAAAATTAAGATATTGTCCCTCTTATTTTTTTTATTTTAGGCTTCCTCATATCATGGGGTTCTACTTTTTTATTTCATGTAGGAAAGTCTAAATTACTTTAAAATTTTCAAATTATTTAACTCTATCTGTGTTCCTTTGATTAATTAATCTGACTGTGTTATGACATTAAATGGTTCACTGGTGGATTTCATTTGATACATGTAATTTCTTCTGTTTAGTTTATGTTTGCTTTTTGTGCACGTTGCCTGGTTTTGGCATCCAAGTAAAGCTGTTCTGGTAGAATGCTTTAGTACGTCTTTCATTTTTTTCTCCCCTCCCCTCTTTTCATAATTTTCATTTCTTCCAAAGGCAGGAAAATTGAAAAGAAATATATATGTAATTTTCATTTCCCGGGTACATATGTATATATTACGTGATGTTGAGATTTGGCTTCTATTGGTCCCACCACCCAAAGAGTGAATACAGTACTCAGCAGATAGTGCTGTATCCTGAGTAACGCTGGCAGTGTCTGCTCACTGAACCCTTGGTGGAACAGCATTAACACTGGGCCTGCTAACTTTCTGAGCCAGATGCTTTGATTGCTGCTCTTTTTTTTTTATTTGAGACACGGTCTCGCTCTGTCACCCAGACTCGAGTACAGTGGTGCAGTCACAACTCACTGCAGCCTCGACCTCCTAGGCACAAGCAATTCTCCCACCTCAGCCTCCAGAGTAGCTGGGACCACAGGGACATGCAACCATGTCCAGCTAAGTGCTAATTTTTTTTGGGCGGGGGGTAGAGACAGGGTCTCACCAGGTTGCCCAGGCTAGGATTGTAGCTTTTTTTTTTTTATTTTATTTTTTTGTTTTTTACTTTTACTTTCTTTTTATTCATTTGCTTATTCTGATTTAGTCAAATACCAGCATTTTTAAAAATACTTTCTTTTTATTTTTTTGAGACGGAGTTTCTCTGTCACTCAGGCTTGAGTGTAACAGCACGATCTCAGCTCACTACATCCTCTACCTCCCAGGTTCAAGCAATTCTCCTGCCTCAGCCTCCCAAGAAGCTGAGACTACAGGTGTGCACCACCAAGCCCAGTTAATTTTTTGTGTTTTTAGTAGAGATGGGGTTTCACCATGTTGGCCAGGGTGGTCTTGAACTCTGGACCTCAAGTGGTCTGCCAGCCTCAGCCTCCCAAAGTGCTGGGATTACAGGCGTGAGCCACCACACCTGGCCAGAAAATAGCTGATTATTTAGATTTTGACTTAATATAAAGTTAATACATTATGTCATACTTCCTTTAATTCCTTTTCTAACTTTTCATGTTTGAATAATTACTGACCTGTAGAAAAGTCTGAAAGATGGTACAAAGAATATCTCCAGCTTCTCAGAAGTGGACCCAGTAGTTATCTGCTGCCATCATGATGTTGCCATGTCTGTGTCAATATATACTGTTGTTTGCTTAATTTTGTTAATGCAGCTAATACTTTGAAACTTAAAATTGATTTGTAAAGAAATTACAAATGCTGCCATAAACGAGAAATTACTGTCCCTTTTAATATTGTATAATATGGGCCGGGCGCGGTGGCTCAAGCCTGTAATCCCAGCACTTTGGGAGGCCGAGGCGGGTGGATCACGAGGTCAAGAGATCGAGACCATCCTGGTCAACATGGTGAAACCCCGTCTCTACTAAAAATACAAAAAAATTAGCTGGGCATGGTGGCGCGTGCCTGTAGTCCCAGCTACTCAGGAGGCAGAGGGAGGAGAATTGCCTGAACCCAGGAGGCGGAGGTTGCGGTGAGCCGGGATCGCGCCATTGCACTCCAGCCTGGGTAACAAGAGCAAAACTCCGTCTCAAAAAAAAAAAAAAATATTGTATAATATGAAAAATATTCATTAATTTGTTATCTAAAAGAGCACTGCAGGCCAGGTATGGTAGCTCACATCTGTAATCCCAGCACTTTGGGAGGCCGAGGTGGGTGAATCACCTGTGGTCAGGAGTTCGAGGCCAGCCTGTCCAATATGGTGAAATCCCATCTCTACTAAAAATACAAAAATTAGCCAGCGTGGTGGCAGGCGCCTGTAATCCCAGCTACTTGGGAGGCTGAGACAGGAGAATTGCTTGAACCAGAAGGTGGAATTTGCAGTGAGCCAACAAGATCACACCACTGCACTCCAGCCTGGGCAGCAGAGCAAGACTCTGTCTCAAAAAAAAAAAAAAAAGAACACGGCATACCACACTCCAGGGAAACTTGGACCCCTGGGTAATGAACAATAAAGATAAAGACCCATATTGTCCCTTCCAGGAGCCACGCTGTGTCACATATTGTGCTGGTATACACTAAAAGGCTGCCCTTTGAACAGTATGGTAACTTATCACAGGAGGAGACAAGCAGAGGGAATTTTCCAGGTTAACTGGTTGGGACAAGCATTCTAAGGAAGGAAACAACATTTAGAAGGCACAAAGGCCCATGAAGGCTGAGCACATGTGGGCGTCAGTAAATGGTGAATTCGAGAATTCACTGAAGTGATGGCTGAAGAGGTAGCAGGGTCTCCTATGCTGAGCTGAGGAGTGAGTACTGGCTGCATCCTGAAGGCAGTGAGAGCCTTTCGGGCTCTGAAAGCTTGGTGAAGCTTAAGGGCCCCTTGTTAGAGAAAAAAAAAAAATGCTCTTAAATACATAGAATAAGGCCAGACAAGGCAGCTCCTGCCTATAATCCTAGCACTTTGGGGTGCCGAGGCGGGCGGATCACTTGAGGTCAGGAGTTCAAAACCAGCCTGGTCAACACGGTGAAACCCCATCTCTACTAAAAATACAAAACAAATTAGCCGGGCTTGGTGGCAAACACCTGTAATCTCAGCTACTCGGGAGGCAGAGGTTGCAGTGAGCTGAGATCACACCATTGCACTCCAGCCTAGGCAACAAGAGTGAAACCCCATCTCAAATAAATAAATGCATAGAATAAAAGCCTGGAATTACAGAGCAATCCCACTCTATCAAAGTAGCTATGAAGATGTGAAGAAAACATGTGTGGTACCGTAGATGCGTGCTTTTCATTAACACATTAACTCTACGGGAGGGTCACCAGGTACTGCAATTTCAGTGCTGGTATTACAATGGCTAGAATATTACATGAAAATGTCTACAGTTCTGTCAGTGCCAAAGCACAGGTACTGCTAAAAGCTGTTTTTTGTTTGATGTGTTGACATCTGTGTTCACAGATCACCTAAATTCTGTCCATGATCATCTTAGTGGTCTGCAGATTCCAGGTCAAGAGCCCCTTCTTAGAGAGGTCACTCTAACACAAAAGAATTAGACCTAACGAGAAGCAGGGAGAGCATCACAGTGAGGGGTGCTCAGCCAGCCCTGGGGACCGAGGAGAGGGGCAGATTTGAGAGAGGTTCTGGAGGCAGAGCTCACTGGAGAGAGACAAATTAACATCAGCCCCCTGGGCAATGCCTTATTCTTCCCAACCCTTTATCAGTTTTTTGAAACCTGGTAAAACAAAACTTTCAGCAATAGAAAATGGGTTGATTCTCAAGCTTTGAATGGGATAGGCATTCTGTAATTGAGCTGTCTAGTGAAAACACTAAAGAATATTAATAGAGGGCTGGGCACAGAGGCTGACACCTGTAATCCCAGCACTTTGGGAGGCTGAGACCTGCGGATCACAAGGTCAGGAGTTTCAGACCAGCCTGGCCAACATGGTGAAACCCTGTCTCTACCAAAATACAAAAATTAGCTGGGTGTGGTGGCACTTTCCTGTAGTTCCAGCTACTCCGGAGGCTGAGACAGGAGAATCGCTTGAACCCGGGAAACAGAAGTTGCAGTGAGCTGAGATGGCGGAACTGTGCTACAGCATGGGTGACAGAGCAAGAATCCATCTCAAAAAAAAAACAAAAAGAATATTAAGAATATCATCTAGGGCCTTGCGTGGTGGCTCACGCCTGTAATCCCAGCACTTTGGGAGGCCGAGGCGAATGGATCACGAGGTCAAGAGATCAATACCATCCTGGTCAACATGGTGAAACCCCGTCTCTACTAAAAATACAAAATTAGCTGGGCATGGTGGCGCATGCCTGTAATCCCAGCTACTCAGGAGGCTGAGGCAGGAGAATTGCCTGAACCCAGGAGGCGGAGGTTGCAGTGAGCCGAGATCGCGCCATTGCACTCCAGCCTGGGTAACAAGAGTGAAACTCCGTCTCAAAATAAAAACAAAAAACTGAAATTAATTTTAATAATATGTTTAACTCTATCCAAAATGTAATTTCAACATGAAATCAATATAAACAATTACTAATGAGAGAGTTTACTATTCTTTTTCAATAAATCCTTGATGTCCACTGTGTGTGTGTGTGTGTGTGTGTGTTTGTGTGTGTGTGTGTATTTTTAAGTCAGAGTCTCACTCTGTTGCCCAGATTGGAGTACAATGGCAAGGTTTCGGCTCACTGCAACCTCCTAACTCCTGAGTTCAGTCAATTCTCCTGCCTCAGCCTCCTGTGTAGCTGGGATTGCAGGCGTTCGCCATCACGCCTGCCTATATATATATATATATAGTTTCACCATGTTGGCCATGCTCGTCTCGAACTCCTGACCTCAGGTGATCCACTAGCCTCAGCCACCCAAAGTACTGTGATTCAGGCATGAGCTACTGCATTTTTTTTTTTTTTTTTTTTTTTTTTTTGAGACAGTCTCCCTCTGTTGCCCAGCTGGAGTGCAGCAGCGTGATCTTGGCCCACTGCAACCTCTGCCTCTTAGGTCCAAGCAATTCACCTGCCTCAGCCTCCCAAGTAGCTGGGATTACAGGCAAGCACCACCATGCCTGGTTAATTTTTGTGGTCAGGCTGGTCTCGAACTCCTGACCTCAGGTGATCTGCCCACCTCAGCTTCCCAAAGTGCTGGGATTACGGGCATAAGCCACCATATCTGACCAATATCCACTATGTATTTTAAACTTACAGCACATCTCAATTGCTACCGGCTACATTTCAAGTTTTCACCAGCCACAGGTAGCTAGTTGCTAAGGAATTCTGTTTAGATAATGCAGATCAGAAAGCATGCTTTTGCATTGTGAGGCTTTTGCTATTTTAGAGTTAAAGCTACAATGCTTAGGAATTTGGACTTCATCCTTAGGTGACAGGGAGACACAGGACTTTAACCCAGATATTGATTTTACATTTGCATTTTACAGCATAGAGGATGAAACACTGTAAATCCTCCTGAGACATAGGAATATGGAGATCAGTCTTCTCCTCTGTTTAAGGTAAGAGTTTAGGAAGTCCTAAATTAAGGTTGCAGCAAT